TATATATATATATACATATACGATACTAGGCGACAGTGACGAGTACGATTCGAAAATATAGTTTATGATTTCATTACTAGCTACTATAGGCAGTGGCAAACTGCAAGGTCACAACTTTAATTTCCAGTGTACGATCTATATTAAATAATGGCATGCAAAGTCGCTTCATGCCTCATCCATCAGTTTCATATGAACTTCCCTCGAAATACGTGCTTTCAAACATCATGGCGGTTCACTAATTTATTGATGGATAGACGAAGCGTGTTAGTGCAGTTTCGCGTGAAAAAAGACTCGCTGACATAGCCGTGATTACGTCAATAATTTTACCCTTTCACAAAATCGACTGACAACTTACACTGTCAAGGACTTTCGACTGAACGATGTTGAAGTAGGCAAACTCACTGAAGACACACTGGTATTTCTGAGCTAAACGCATTTCAGGAAAAAAAAACAGGCGTCACGTGGCTAATGCTAATGTTGGCCGTCTGCCACGCAAATCGAACAGTAGCTTCATTAGCAGTTAATTTTTCTTTGTTACACAGAGCCGTTGCCAGGGATTGACTAATGTTGAAGCCCAGTCACGAAGGCACGAAGCGCCGTAAAGGGGGAGAGTGTGTGAAGGCTTTTCCCCTCCCCCTGATGGGGGCTTCCCCCGAAATTTTTGAAAAGCTACATGGAAAATGGTGTACATGGAAAATGGTGTACGCTGGCGAATGTTAAAATGAAATTTTTACATTTGAAACGCAGTAAAAAGTACATTGCAACTGTTTAATCACATAAATATTTTTTTATCCGGAAATAATGTTGAAGTGCGAGCTTCCGGACCTCCGCCTGGCGACGTGCCTGCTTTACATTTTTGAATTTTATGCACAATACTAGCGATTGCTCTGGTTGCACGTTTCCATAACAGTTGACCATCATATCACATATGGCATGTGAAGATGAAGAAAATGCGTATTATTCTCTAGTGACTGACTCTTATGCAAAAAACAGGGGGATACGTATTTCGGAGACGGACCGCAACGTGACTTTCTCTCCGCTGCCGCCGGGTGTAGCTCCTAGACAAAATCAAGTAAAACAGATGCATTACAATAAAAGCATACCTGCAGCCACCTGTGAGAAATGTTACGCTAATGGAAATATATACTGAATGAGTTCACTGCATCGTGCTGACACCAATACATTGACAAATGGAATTACGATGGATATGGCACTATACTCCACTGAAAGCGGTCTATACCTTGATGTATAACCCATGGGCGGGGTGTACCACTGCTGATGGGAATCGGGGTTGCGATGGGTTGAATATCTTCCTCGTTCTGAAAGGCATGCGGTTTTTCACCGGGAAGTGTTAGCTGCGGCATCTTGAAAAGGGGTCGCCTCACCCTGTGTGAAAGTACAGCAAGGTATAAATAACATATTATTAGCATAGGCTATCACGAAGATGAAAAATAACAACATCTGAGCATATGCAAGCGCTGCAATTTTTCTGGAAGAAATTTTATATTGGGGAGGGGGAAGAGAACTGCTACAGATGCCGCATACATTAAATTCGGGATATTAGCGGTGGAGGTAAGCTGCATGACCTATATATGTATATATATATATATATATATAGAGAGAGAGAGAGAGAGAGAGAGAGAGAGAGAGAGAGAGAGAGAGAGAGAAGAGAGGCATAGCTGGGATCAGGGAAA